CCACAATTAACATTTGAATTTTAAAAATATTTTTAATAATTTTTAAGTGGTCGGATACTTTTGGCCGGGGAGTGTACAAAGTGAACATAAAATTATATATATAGGGATAAACATATATGAAAAGTATTAGCAAAGGAATTTTACTACTACTCGAAATAATAAAAAAGATAAACCATCACCAATAGTTAAGACAAGAGAAAAACTATTTGTTGGATGATTTGGAAAATTTCCTCAATGCAAATTGGGAATAATGATGGTTCAAAGAATCAACGGTCAAAATAAACCCTATCGTTGAGAATGAATTAAAGAATATCATCTCAATTTTTGATCTGTTTGTAGATGACGACTTTGAATGAATTACCTCAGTGCGAACACACTTTCCTAGTGACAAAATATATGCTCTCCCTGATTACAAAGCTAACCATCATGTTCAAGGGAAAAACATTTACCACTTCAAACTACTGTCAGTGATTTAAAAGATGAATATTTTACCAAAGCTGCTAAAGAATATAAAAACAATATTTCAAAAAATAAAAAAAAGTTCGATTTAATTATGAATAGCATGTATAACGTTTATCTTATGTTAAATAATTGTTATAATTTATATTGTTATTAAAAGGACTAAAGAAAAAAATATATCAATATTTTAACAATGGGATTATTTTCTTTTTAAGAATTTTTATTTTTTTTTATTGGGTAATAGCACACTTCTCTTTTCTTAATGTTTATTATTATTTTTTTCTTTTAGTATTCATTTTATTGTTATTGATAGTATCTTGAGCAAACGTTACATGACATATTTCGTTGATTTGGGATGCGTTACCCGTTGCCAAATTTTTAACTTCTTTACCTAATTGTTAAACTTTTAGAATATAATTTGCATTTACATTCCCGGTTGTCATAGAACGCTTCAAGCTCTTCCCTGGTGAAGTTGACCAATCCTTAAAAGTAAAATGCTGAGTTAATATTTATAAAATTAAGTATTTACGAAATATTGATTAACTATTCATACTATCCTTCAGGCTAACAGACCCGGCTTGCACTAAGCGTCGAACTAGCAGTTCATAACTGTTGGACTAAGTTCTTGGATTGTTAAATCCATCCTACTAAAAATTCTCACTGATTTTTATTTTAAAAATGCATTTTTACTTTTACCTTCTTGGGCTTTGTTTTTGCATACATCATCAAAATCAGGAGAAACCACTACATCCTGAAGATCCTTTTTATACAGTCTAAAGTTCTCCTTCGATTATTTTTAAACCCGTGACAAAATGTCACGATCAGATAAACGTTTTATTTTTATACTAAAATGTAAATCGCATATTAAAATTTAAAAGGTGTTAATAACAGATCATATAAAACATTCTAGAGATTCTTTTTTTCTCGGTCATATATATATATACATTCATCGATGTAGGCCCAAAGGAGCGAGTCTAAAGATTCATAAAATCCCAGAAAAAAGTAAACACAATTATGTACTGTATATGGTCAGCTTTATTGATAAGTAAAAATCCATTTACGATTTGATATGCGATCATGTGCATCGCGTAATAAAGACAAATTAACTATTAACATTACGCTACTCATAACTCATGTCATACAAACAATCAATGTTTACGTTTGAGAAAGTTGTCAGTAGTGTAATATATTGCGGAAAATTAATGTGTGTATAAAATTGGATGATAAAGTTGGGAATTTCCGTTTCTTGTGATTTATAATATTGATGAACATCAATGTCACCTCGAATAAGACAACTTGCATCCAGCTACCTGTATTCTAATAATGCCTTTACGAGCCCAATACATCCAATACATACCATCATATCATAATTTTATGTCATTAAGTGCATGTGAAATTATTATATTATATTATAATAATAATAATAATAATAAATAATAATAATAATAATAATAATCATTATTATTCAAATATATAATGTTTGCAGAAAAATTTATTTTTATTTTTTTATTTCTTTAGATTTCATGCTAATGGTGTTATGTGACTTAATGAATGTCAGAAAGTTAAAAAAAACTACTTAAAGATTATCTATAAATCTTAAAGATCATTTTCCAAATTCAAATTATCTTGGTCATTGTTCGATTGTTTTCTTTTTTTTCCGGTATTGTTGGATTCGTAGTTATTGTTGGAATTAGGCGTACCAATGTCATTCATGTTATCTATATCATTCTCTTCTTGATTAATTTCATTACTATCATCCAACATCATTTCATTCTCATTATCACCATAATCACTTTTACCTTCATCACTGAACACTATATCTTCTTCTTCACTATCTTCACCGGGAATTGATTCATTTGTAGTACCTTCCTCTGCCTGACCCCAATGTTCTCTATCAACTTCACCACCATAATATACAAATAGTTCTTCTCCTTTTTTAATATCTCGTTTAGTCCAACATATAACTTGATTAACTTCACTTCCCTCCAAAAATACCATATTTCCAAATGGATCTTCATTCATAAAATGAAAAGGGCAATGTATTTTACCTTTGGGATTTGTAAATGGTTCTCCAAATTCATCTGTGGCGTCAAGAATTGTATGTTTATATCTCATGGAATAATGTGATGCCTTGCCAACCTTATCTTTAACCTGGTCAAATTCATCCTCCATCATAGGAACTCCAAAATAAAATCCAAGAGGTGTCGCCATTGGAAGATTACGTTTAGCAAATAAGCCATTACCCGCATTTGGTATAGTAGAAGGACGGATTTCAACTACTTCATCCAAATTTTTGGGTACACCTGTAAGATCAATTCCAGCTAAAATTTCTTCGGAAAATGCAGCCGAACAAACATCCGTCCAATTAGAATCATCATCAATAGTCTTTTTTTTTGATTGTGATCTTTTTTTACTCTTAGGATTAGATGTTGTTCTAGAATTAATTATTGTTTTATCTGAATCAATATTTTGAGAACTTAATGAAATTCTAAATTTTAATTTCGGTCGTTCAATTTCTTTGTATACATCAGTTCTCAATGGATAAATACATAAATATCCTCTAGATCTACATTTCGAACATGATGGTAACTTTATATCACAAGATGTTTCAGGTGCACAACGTCTACATCGTAAGTGGAGAGGATTACTTGCACCAACACTGAGCATAATCACACGCCCACTATTTATCAAGTTGATACCTAATGAAAATATTATAAATATAATAAATAAAAAATACAATAAATAAAATATAATAAATAATGAGAATATTAATTATCTTAATTATCTTCTTGGTTTCATAAATAAAATATTAACCTTGTTTGTTTTTTTTCACCTTTCCAAAGCATAAAGGCCAATCATGTTCAATTAATTTCTTCATCCAATCGTTATAATGTTTAATAGCATTTTCAATATCGTTTGGTATGAACGAAAGTGTATAATATGATGTTTGTGAATGATCTTTTTTGAATTGTACAAAATATTTATCAGCATTGGTCGTCAAACAAGCACTGGCAGAATTTCTCGGTGTCTATGTATTATATTAAATATAGGTATTATACATATATATATGTGTGTGTAATATGCGGGTTTATATGTTCGGTAAATAATAAATAAATTTTATAAAAGAAAAGAAAATGAAATATAAAAAGTGATAACAAGGGTAAATATTCTAATTTATGCCCCACGAAGAATATTTTTTCATATCCGGTAAAAAGAAAAACGATCAAACCACATAAATTAATATTGGCTAAGTGCCGTAGATGTAGATTATACCAACACACCTGACCAGTAAAACAACGTGGTAAACCTGCCTCCGTACTTATTTTTTCATCTAAAGATAATGCAGCATCGATAAGATCGGTACGAGCCATAGTATAATTTGGAGCATTTTGTAAAGTCAAAAGCATCATATGTTGTTGATTATGCCATCGAGGTCGAAGTAATGGTGGTCTAAGACGTATTCGATAATTTTTTTCAAAATCTTCGGTTCCAACTCTATCTTCATTTACCAAACCTAAACCTTTTGGAAAATATTCTGAAAACAGATCTTCTACATATTCTTTGTCTGCGTCTAATATTACAGGTTTAATGAGATCTGCAAATTTGAGACCTTTCCCATTCGCAATATCCTGAATGCATGTAAAGAAATATTCTAAACTAGTTCTCATTTCTTTATCTAAAAATAAATTTCTCGTAATATCTGGAATATGAGGATAAACAATATATATGTTACGATCAGAATTGTATTTTGCAGTGCAATCCTTAAGGAAAGTTGAAAGCGCCTCGCGTGTGCCTATCCAATCCCTATGAGATTGTGCCAACACTGTTTTAGCTACACTTAATAGATCAGGTTCAATTTCAATCGAGGTAGATCCTTTGGGGTTATCTTGAGGTGATAATGTTGTGATCATTATTTCGCGAATTCTTTCAGCTCTGGCGCCGGTCGCACAATCGGGGGTAGGTGAAACTGTTAGTAATTTCTCCACCAAAGCTAAACGACTTAAATCATCCATTCTGGCAAGCCTAGAAATTGCACTTGCAAAGGTATCTAACGAAAGTGAAGACAAAGTTTTTATTGCAATATCTTTGACGATTTCCTCCCAAGCTTGTTCGACTGTTAATCCATTTTGCAATTTTGGACCAATTCTAGGCTCCAACCATTTTTTCAACACGTCAGATAATTCTGATTCTTTGCCATCTTTATTGTCTTTAAGTTTTGATAGAGAGTTTGGCAACATTTTTGAAAGATCTTGAACGTTTTTTCTATTTTGTATTCTCAAAAAAAAAAAACAGTCACGTGAAATAACAAATAACTTAAATTTTGTCACGTGATGATGAAAGTATACTTTACTATTCCAGTTTAATTAATAAAATCCAAGTATTTTTATCTGGGTAAAACTAATTTAACGTGTCTAGGTCAGAAAAGGTCAGAATAGTTGTTATAAATTTTAAAATAATTTAATAAACAAATTACGTCACTATTTATTTATTTATTGACTCTATAATCTCAAATATTAGATAAAAAATATTAAAATATTAAAATTTTTAGTTATTAAAGCTAATACTGATTTTAAAAAAATGAAAATGTAAATCAACTTATAATACAATTGGAAATTTAGATGTAAAATTAAAATTCTTAATAATAATAATAGTAATAATAACATTAAAGAAATCAGTTATCTAAAGAATCTTCCTACTGCTGAACCTACTGAAAATAATCGTCCAACAAGACTTGGATCCGCTGTAGCAGCTCTTGTGGCAAATCCGGTAGCCCATTTACGTTTAGCATCTTTATCGCATTGTGTATAACCAATTACATTCGCCAAATTTAATGTGATAGCAACTGCTACGATCAAAAGCCGTGTTGGTTCAGTTAATGAAAGAAGTCCAAAAATAACCCATATTACTATAGTAACATATAATGAAAACCAAAAAATACGAGAATCTGTCGTATTGACGGGTCGCGAAGGCTAAATAAGTAATTAATAGAATAAAATTAATATATAAATAATTAATAAATTAAATATATATATATATTTATTTATTTATTTAATTTACTTACATCTCGACTTTCAAACATCCAAACGTTTGTCCCATCAGGTTGAATATCATTCCACCACCTTAATCCAACTAATAATCTTCCAGTCACATTTTTGACTGTCCAGAAATCAAAAGATAATAATAAGACGCATATGATAAACTTTAGAGGAAAATTGGAAATAACAAGAAAACCAAATAGGAAGACAATTATAGCCCCCGAGCGAAATAAAAGATGGAAGAATAAAGCTACTGGATGACTGATACAAATAAAAGCCTTGTAAGTATAATAGATCTAATAAATCTCTTATTTTTGTATATATATAAAAAAAAAAATATCGATTGTCCGGATTATCCGATTATCAAAATTTGATACTCGAAATTAACAAAAAAAAAAAAAAAAAAAGGTGATTGATTTATTTCCGAATATATTTATATTATATCATCTCCAAAATATCATTAAACTACAAACCATGAAAATTATCTTACCTAGATTGATCCCAAATACTTTGACTTTGATTTTGATTTTGATAATTATTATTATTATTTGATTGTGGTGTTGCTTCTAGCGGAATATTACTACCAGACAGGTTGTTATTACTCCTAACGTTTGAATCGCGGCCAGCCTCAACATCAGGTTCCAACGGCTCCGAAATCGAAAAAGGAGCCGCTTCAGATAATAAGCGTGCGTTTGATGTTTCCTTTTTAAAAATAAATTGGGATAAATACAACTAATAGTCTAACGCGTTATAAAGATAAAAAGATAAAAACATTGCTTTGTACCATTTATATAAAACCAATGACTTGCAAATTTAACTTTTATAATAATCTTTTTTTGTTACTTTTTTTATTATTTTTTTATTGACATTTATGGTTTCACAATTTTAATAAAACGTGTTCACTGATAAATGGCAAATAAAATACAATAACTGGTATATTATATATTTATTCCGAAATGTTACACACAATTTTTAAAAAATTTAATTTGTCAAATTTATTTTAAACCTTTTTTTATATTATAAAAAAAAAGAAAATTCAGAAATGTAAGAAATTTATTAAAGAAAATAGATTAATATAATCAACGTAATCTAATGTATTATTTTACTAACCACAGTTCCCGAAGATGATGCTATACGTGGCCAAAGATCAGCGCACTCTTTCCCGACAGGACCAGTAATGGCAGAACCCTTCATTTCTCCCTTGGGATTCACTATTACACCTGCATTATCTATAAAAAATTTTTTGAATCAATATCTTTAATAAAAAAAAAGTAAATGAAAAGTGAATTAAAAAAAAATTAGATATATATATATATTTATTTATATATTTATTTACCTTCAAAATAGAGGAAAACTCCATCTCTCCTACGCCAAGGTTTCCTTTGTCGAATTACGACAGCAGGCATGACTATTAATTGGAGAATTATAATTAATTAAATTAAAAATTAATTTTTTTTTCTATTTTAAGTAAGAGATATCAAAAAAAAAAATACAAAAATTTAAATTACCTTTTTTTCTTAGATCAGGCTTTCCTTTTTTAACAGTAGCCATGACCATATCACCAACACCAGCTGCTGGTAATCTATTTAATCTTCCATGAATTCCTTTAACAGAGATTACATATAAATTTTTTGCTCCGGAATTATCAGCACAATTCATAATAGCGCCAACTGGAAGACCCAAGGTCATTCGGAATTTGTTACCAGAAGCTAAATAATTGAATAATTAAAATTTTATTAAATTATATAAATTATATATATAAATATCAAGAAAAATATCCAGCATACATAAAATTAAAATATAATATTTACCACCACCGCGTCCTTTTAAATTAAATATCAATTAAAATTAATTATAAATTAATTATAAATTAATTATAAATTAATAAATTTATTGGTTGTTAAAAAAAAAAAAAGCTCTCCTTTTTATAATCCGAGTTTAAAGACTATTTTGAAATATTTTCATATTCAAAGACAACAACAAATCCAATTCAGAAAATACATCTTTTGTGTTAAAAAAATATAATTTATTACCTCGTTTGGACATTTTGGTTTATACAGTAGTAGTAGTAGTAGTAGTAGTAGAGGAGGTTCTTCTAACAACGAAAAATATTTTTTATGTTAAAAAGATCTCTCGTGATTTAGTTTAATCCGTGTAACTTGATTTATTCAATTTTACTTATTCAATATTAAAAATAAAAATAAAAGTGATAGTGATAATATAATAACTTATACGCGAGACTAAGTTTCGGAGTAGCTCAGAACTTAAACTTCACTCATTTAAGCAATTTAAATAATTTAAGCAATTTAAACTATTTCGAATTTCATCAAATACTATTTTTGCTATACTTATTATTTCAAACATGGTAACGGTATGCATTTGGAATTTATCAGAATTTTAGAAAAAATTATAAACAGTTTTTATATGAAAATATTAAAATTTATATTTAATCGGTCAAAGTAGTCACATCTCCCATCTTTTAGAAGTCGTACGATCGGAATAGGAATACCTCGCAAACTTCATCTACCTCTTTTTTTACTTCGAGGTCTTAGTTTAGTACCTGCAAGTTATGGCTTCATTTCTTATATTATTGCAGCAGAACACGTCCCTTTCCGTGATTCTGGTGGTTTACTTGAATTAAGAAGTACTGAATTGGATTATTGGCTAGGTGCAATGTGGGTATGTGATAATCAACTGATAATTAAGTTAATGAATCAATTTTAATTGACAAACTTTCATTCTGACTTAATGAGTATATAATAAATTAATAATGAAGGAATCTCGTTCTTTCTCCATATGATTTAGTGTCTTTTGTCTGGCCTTTGGAGTTATTGGCTTGCAGATGGATTAATGCGTCGATGGCTTTTTTATTATGAAGTTACAAGTATCATTATTCGTCTTATTTCCTTACAAGCAATCAATTGGGTGGTAACAGCTTTTGTTGTTACACATTATGGTCCAGATGAACCGGTATGGGCTTGGGTAGTATGTAGCATTGTTTTAGGTATATGCAACGTTATTCAATGGTTATTCACATCTACAACAAAATATGTTAAAGCTAATGATCCGGAGACATTAAGACAAATGACTTTAAGAGATATACAGAGATATATTGTCATTCCTTTAGCTATTGCTGCATTTGTTACAATGTTATTTCTGCTCGAACAACAATCAAAATTTCGATACACTTCAAATTTGGGGTTAACTAATTACAAATTACATACCAATTTATCACTTAATGAAATAAAATCAGATTCAAAAGTTAAAGTAATTATGGTCATATTAACATCTTGGGCAGAAAGTGGTTATCAAAAACGAATGAATTTTCGTGAGACCACAATTAAATTAATCCCTCAGAATTCAAATAAAATTTCTCTTGCATATAGATTCATTCTCGGGGATGCGCCTTCCGCAAAAGTTCACATGAACATGGGGAAGAAAATTCTCGCAGAATCAGAGAGATACAATGACTTGCTCATTGTACCTGCATCTGATCTTTACGATAACCTTAGTCATAAAGTTTATAAAAGTTTTGAATGGGCAAATAAATATGATTTCAATTATTTTGTGAAAACAGATGATGACATGTTCGTGCGTATGGATACTGTCGTTCGGGAATTAGAAGAGTTGGGATCTGGGCAAAAATACTACTGGCGAGGTCTGGGGTATTGGTAATATATATATATATACATCTCTCTCTTTTTTTTTTTTTTTTTTTATATATCATTTCACGAATCGTGGACTTTAAATAGTTATTTATATTATATACAGGAATATTCCAATTCATAATTCTAATAACAAAAATTCAGCATTTGATTACAAATTACCGATGTTCCCACCTTTTACAGCTGGGTCACTTTATATTTTGTCTCGCGACATAATTTCAATTATTACCACTGATGCTCCTCGACTTTTCACAAAAAATGAGGAAGAAAATTTAGGAATCTGGCTTTTTCCTTATAATATCAAACCGATTCATGATAGACGTATACAAAAAGCAGATGTTTGCGAAGATGATATGATTGCAAAACATTTTAGCGATTCTTATGATCCAGATCGAAGTATGAAGGATATGTATGAAAATGTCATTAATAATAGACGTACGTGTGAAGGGTTTAGACAAAGATTTTGTGCATTGTGTTATCCATGTTGGGGCAGGGAAAATAATTGGCGAGGTCGAGGTTTTGATTGTGATGATGTTAAGGGTATTACTTTATTACGGCAAACAGAAGTTCTCCTTGACAAATCTGAAACTTCTATTAAAGTATTTGATAAACCTCAAAACATTACTATGGGAAGTAAAGAGGATGAATGGATAATACCTGGACTTCTTTCAGAACATTCATCTATTTATTCTGGAACGAATCAATGGTATCTATTACATTGGTTATACTGGACAACAGATTTATCTACTTTTCAAGAACGTCACTATAAAACCATTGAGCTCATATGGGTACATACTCCTAATGCCATTGTTTTTGTTCTCACAACTACATTACCGGATGATTTCTTTACTAAATATTTAGAGCAAGGATATAGAATTTATGTAATTAAATTTAATAAGGAATTATTATTGAAAAGGCATTGGTACCTTGGGCAAAATTCTAAAAATTGGCTTAAAAACTGGAACAAATGGGAAAAGTCTCAATATTTTTTGTCACATCTCACCGATTACATGCGATATATACTTCTTCATAAATATGGTGGTATGTACATGGATATAGATTCACTTTGGATACGTACTCCACCAGATACACAAATAGAATTTATTGGTTCAGACTATTCTAAAATTGCATCAGATTCTGAGTGGACCCTTGATAAGGATGGTACATATCTTTCACCAGGAATTATGCGTTTTCGTAAAGGTTGGTCAATGTTTCGGGAAATAGCGGAACGAGCATTTTCCCCAACTTACACTACAGATTGTTTTAATTGTGTGGGTCCTCGTGCTATCACAATGTATGTAAAAGAATATAGAAATACTTTAGAAGAAAATGGATTTACCATACTTCCCGGAAGAATTCTTTATCCTTACAATTATCTCGAAGTTGATAAACTCTTAAATTATGATCGAACAGCAATTCAAGAACTTTCAAAAATTGAGAAAAATTCATGGAGCATTCATTTATTTGGAAAAATGACAAATTTTAAAACGATTGAGGATAGTAGTGTAGTAGGAGTAACCATTAAGAAGTTTTCATTAGACATACCACATTCGCCAGCGCCATTAATAGGAAATGGAAAACCAAGTTTTCAAAATCGAAATTTATCATATCCATTTGTATTAGAAGGACCTAAACAATATCGATTTACATTCATGACAACAATTAAGGAAATAGATCAATATGCTGGTTCACTGAATGGAAAATTTGAAGGATTATATGTTATTTTTGTACGTGGTGGTCCCCCTACAGCACTTAAATCGATTATTTATGCAAAAGCAAATAAAGGGAAATTATCATTTAATTCAAATGGAGGAGATTGGAGTGAAACTTCCATAACAATTAGTAATCCAACAAAAAAAGATGTTAATGCTATTTTAAATACTTTAATTTATCGACCTAATAAAATTTTACAAAAGACAGGTGGTAAAGACGTTATCGAATTGAAAGTAACATTTGGAGAACATCGCACAAAATTGAGTATTGAAGTTTTAATACCAGTACCAAAATGAAACAAAATAGTAGAGATTTCGCAATAGAAATTCCCATCAATAATTATTGAACATCAACAGTTTATATAGATTTTGTAAATTATTTAGTTTGGTACGTTTAATCCCTCAAATTTATTTTAAAAATATCAAACACATGTATCAATATTTACTTTTATTTAAATTTTTTTTATGAGAAACATTTATGAAAGACTTTGATATAGAAGTATCATAATAATTTTGTACTCTAATTATATAGATTTATAATTTGTCATTTATTTCAGTGAATTTTTTTCGGGAGGATTTTACTATTAAAGGCAATCCGTTAATATGAATTTTTATAATTTTAAATGTTTATATTTTCGAGAAAATGTAATTTTTTTTTTTTTTTTGAATAATACACTATTATATTTTGTAATATTTAATATTATCTAGTTTATTTTAATTAAACAATAGAAAAATTTCAGATTAATTATAGTGTATAATAAAAAGTAAATAAAAATGTAAAATTTAGCATTCCTTTTCTTGTTTCACACCTTTCGAAATATTAAATATTCTGGTACAAATATAGGTAGTCCGATTTTGGCAGGGAGAACATACTATCCTGGAAAATTGATGATGCATAGTAAATTATATTATTTAACTCACGTTTTAATTCGATTTAAAAATGTCTGATTTGAAAATTACCGAAGAAACAAGAATTAATTGCATATTATATACAAAATGATTCAGATAACGATATTTTCGATATCAAAAAAACACTTCAAAAGGTTCAAAAGGCAAAACCGTCCAAAATAATTTTCTAACACTTGAATTGGAAGAAGTGTATAAAGTTAGATCGAAGTATGAAGGAACGTTATCGAAAATGTAGAAAAAATTATTTTATTGGAAACAGTTGCGCATGAGCGTAAAAAAAGGAGTAAGTTTGCTTAAAATCATTTATTTATTTTTTTTTTTTATTAAATTGGATTGGTTTTTTCACCATTGTTTCTTTCCCTATCTTTAAAAATATGAAATAAACTCAGTTTTCAATGCGATTAGTGTACTTACTACCATTGCCATCACTATTACTGCAAAATATATCAAGGATGAAAATTTTACTAAATTTTTTATCATTATCCTGAATTGTGTTATATTTGGGGTAATGATTCGGGCTAAACCTATTCATATTTTTTTATCTTTTAATTTTATTAATTAATTTTCTTTTCTTTTCACCTAGGTTAGTAGCCCTTAAATCAAAGTAAATACCCATAGTAAAAAATCCTTCTACATTTTCACCTTTTAGTTTAGCCTATTGTGTCCTAAACTATACATATCATCAAAACTATTAAATTGAGTCAGACTCAATTAGAAATTGATGCAATTATTTAGTCAGACACAATTAAAAATTGAAAAAATTGGAATTGAGTCAAAGGCTTTTTACTTTTGACGACATGTATATCCTAAACTCCTAAACCCTTTAGCCCAAATCACTAATTTGGGGCTCAAATTTTTATTTTACTTTAAAATTGTTGAGAGATAAATCTTATATAAATATAATGATTGTGTTATTTCCAACATATATTGGAATAACATTAGCAATATTTCTTGCAAATAAATACATCTATGCAAAAAAAAAAAAAAATCCGATTAGAATATTAATCACAAATGAAGATACCTATTGTAGAGCAATGAAACTTTGTTCTAGTTCGATTAAAGCTAAGTAAAGTGAGTTTGATAGGTCATTTTATTTCAGAGAGATGTCTTTCTTGACTGCAAAACTTTTATTAATTGTATCGCATTTATAGGAGGTGGCAAAACATATGGGCGGATTTATTTGATTTTTAATGGCTAAAAAAGGAAATCGATAGGCGTTTTATTCCTTTATAATAAAATTCGTGTGGTGTGACTATTTGACAAAAGGATCGTGCCTTACTCATCTTCAATAGAAGGGAGTTCACGTTGGTTTAGCGAAATTAAGAAAAGACTCTTCCTCAATGAAATAAAAACCAAAATTTTTTTTGATCTGATTATCAGATCAGCACTGATTAATAGCTCCGAGCATGTGACAAACATTATTTAATAAAGCACGTAGCTGAATTTTTTTAAAGTATTGATGGTTCGAGTAGCCTCACATACCGGCTGACTCAATTGGTCAAGATAATCAACATGTATTTAACTAGGAAGTTAACGAGGTGGAAGTAGAGAAAACGATATGTTACATTGACTTTATTTAGAAATTTGTTGTTTTGGAACTGCTTTTTTTTAACATTCTTATAACTTTGAAGAAAGTGTGAATTTTTAAATATTGATATTACAAATTACATTTTATTAAGTTATAAAAAATTTATATCTTTGATAATTTTTTTTTGTATTTCTACAATTTAGTAGGTTCGACGCTATCACTTTGGCTTTCGTTTGCAAAGGAAGGAGCTGGTGTATGGCATTTGAAGCACGCCAATCGACTTTGGAAATTATAAAAATTACATTTCGGACAAACCCAATCACCAGGAGCTACTTCTCGATCTTGAACTTTTTCACCACATTCGAAGCATTCAGTTCGATACGCGAAATTATTTACTCCGCAAGCTTTACATTGCCAATCTCCAGGACGTGGTCTAGCACCAAAGAACCGCCTGGAAACATCTCGATGCTTTAAAATATTATAAAATTTTGAGAATAAATAAATAAAAAATAATTAATGTAAAAATAAAAACGAAAAAAAAAAAAAAAATAAACTTTTGTGCTGCCTAGAATTATTTTTTAATACCATATTTAATCTTGAGGCAGGTTTTATTTCATTTAGCAACTTGCCACTTATAGGCTGATGAGTGAAAAGCGGTAAACGGTATGTTGCCGAAATTACTCTTGAAGAGCGAATAGCGTATTTTTGAAGTTGTCGCAACATTGTTGTCAACGTGGGATGGATTTAAAGATCTCAAGATCTAAAAAAAAAAAAAATTTCAGTTAATCATATATTTTGTCACGTGAGGTATATTACACGTGGAAACATTTAACACGATTGATTTTTTATTTTATTAATTATTAAAAGCAAAAAAAAAAATGAGGTGGATTTAATATTACAGTGGATTTCCCAGGGACGATGAAATTATGTGATGACAAAATACAAATCATTTATTAGCTAAATTTAAATTGTGATGTTATTTTTTAAAAATTCACATATTATGTGATGTTATTAGTTTTATACTAAAATGTGATATTATTTTATAAATTTTATATTAAATTCAATTTAATGCGAAATAAATATAGAACAAAAAAATAAACTAAATTTTATATTAAAAGCCATTAAAATATAACATATTTAATCTTTTAAGAGAATCCAAAGATAAATTTTGATAATCACTATCTAATAAAGATTTATACTTCGTTCTACACTACAACTTAATATTGGTAACCAAAAGTTATTTTAAAAAGAATTGGTAATTGTATTGCCTTACTTAACCAATATTGATCTTCATTAATGATTTTATTATTTAATTCACAATAAATTCCCCATTCTCATAATAACTCATCTCAAATTCTTTAATAATATTATATCTTCTGATATCTTTTTGTAAAATATCTCCTATATAAATATATTTTGAATCAAAAACTTGACTTGCATGAAAAAGTAAATGGGATGGATGATTAGGAATGTATACTTTAAATTTTATAAACTACTTTAAAAGTTTCTCTAAAAATAATATAAAATTCTTCTACATTAAATTTTAAACTTGTAATTAAGTTTATTTGCATTTCTATTTGTTTCAATATATGAAGTAAGTTGTTGAAGTCATAATTCCACTAATGGAAAAATAGGCTTTTTTGATTGTTGAAAAAATCTAAATCTTGAACAAATTCTTTTGCATAAATTGAAATAAAATTAAAATAAATGATAATAACACCTAACTCTTGTTCATTCTGTAAATGAGAATTGATAACCTCCAGATTATTATGTTTTTTATCATTTTCAACTTATTCTTTAAAAAAGGCAAGCAGTGATATAATTAGAGTCTAATTAGACTCTAATTATATCACTTAGTATGAACTATAACCATCCCAAGGATGTGGCCTGATAACAAAAATTGGCTACCGTTATCATGTGATCTGATGACAAAAGTTGACCACTGTCATCATGTGGTCTGATGACAAAAGTTGGTCACCATTGTCAATGGCATGATTTATTTTTTAAGCCACGCTCGAACTGGTATATATTGAAACAGTGGTTTAGCCAATTTCTGTTGTCAGATCGCATATGACACAATGTATATCAATTTGGCAATCGCAGTTGATTTTAAAACTAAGATGCTCTCCAAATTAGATTATACTAGTTGGTAGTATAGGTGCCACCCAAATTCAAATTGCTAAATTCCAAATTTCAAATTTCAAATTTCAAATTATTTTTGGTACCCTAAATTATTTTTGGCATCCCAAATTATTTTTGGTATCCTAAATTATTTTTGGTATCTCAAATTATTTTTGACATCCCAAATTATTTTTGGCATCCCAAATTATTTTTGACTATATAAGTTAACTTGGGTTACTTTAAATAAAGCTCAA